GTGAGTGTGAGAGTGTGTGAGAGTGTGTGAGTGATGGAGACGCAATGTTAAGTACAGGATGGTTAAAACGACAAATGTTACTCCGGGTTTTGATTTTTACAAAGCTTTATTTATTGGCGAGCTGCTGGCCCCGAGATGATTATTTTTCAGCCACTACAAAACAAACCGAAGCAGGGGCCAGACGTGTATTTACTGGAGGGGGAGGGGAAGGGGACTTGTTTGCTCTGTGTGTGTGTGTGTCTGTGTGTGTGCATCAGTGTGTGTCTGTGTGTATCGGCGTATGTGTGTGTGTGCACGTGAGTGGGGAGAGGGCAGCAGGGAACAGGTGCAAAGATCGTAGAATTTTAGGGGTTGGAATGAGCCTTACAGATCTTCTAGCCCCATCCCCCTGGCATGGACAGGGACAGTTTCCTCCAGACCACAGCTTGCTCCAACTCCCATCCAACCTGGCCTGGAACACTTAGAGGGATGTGGCATCCACAGCTTCTCTGGGCAACCTCTTCCAATGCCTCACCACCCGCACATTGAAGAATTTCTCCTTATATCCAATCTAGGAATGAGCCTTACAGATCTTCTAGCCCCATCCCCCTGGCATGGACAGGGACAGTTTCCTCCAGACCACAGCTTGCTCCAACTCCCATCCAACCTGGCCTGGAACACTTAGAGGGATGTGGCATCCACAGCTTCTCTGGGCAACCTCTTCCAATGCCTCACCACCCGCACATTGAAGAATTTCTCCTTATATCCAATCTAAATATCCAATCTAAACCTCCCCTCTTGTCAGTTTAAATCCATTCCTCCTTGTCCATCACTCCATGCTCTTGTCAAAAGTCCTTCTCCAGCTCCTGTAGCCCTTCAGGTACTTGGAGCTGTTATAAGGTCCTCGGAGCTGTGTTATTGAAGCCTTCTCCAGTCTGAACAACCCCAACTGTCTCAGCCTGTCTTCACAGCAGAGGTGCTTCAGCTTTCTGATCCTCTTCGTGGCCTTCTCTGGACTCACTCCAACAGGTCCACTGCTACAGGAAAACACTACATTCTATATTGCCTGTGCTTGGTAACATATCTAACCAAAAAAAGCCCCAAAACTGTTTTATTCGGGACATCATATCTGTATGCCAGCGCATACAGAAAGACAAATTTCTAGTCATCACCGCTGCTGCTTTCACGACATCAAGCATTGTTCCTTCCACTCTGTTATGAAAAGTATGCGGATTTTTTTCCTGAGACACATACATAAATTCCATGCATTTTCTTTCGTATCTGGAATCCTCTGCATTCAGTTTACAGTAGGAAAATCTATCCAAAAAGGACTTTCCATGTACACCTTCAGGAGAATTTAAGCCCCCTTTGTATTCACATGTTCTCAGATAAAACATTGTCTACAGATAAGTCAGACACATTTCCACCCATGTAAAGTTTTACCTGGTAAACACAGCTTTAAAATGAAAACAGAAGTCTTACATAAAACCAACAGTATTTTTATTCAGCTCTTCAAAGAGTTTTAAGATTAACTGCATGTATTCATTAAGCCTTTTCCTTAAAGGCTATCCAAATAATACTGTCCATTTTAAAACAGGTAAAATTACTATGAAAAAACCCTTCAAACCACAAATAAGAAACTCTGTATTATGTCTTTGGAAGAAAATGTCTTGTAATGCACGTAAGAGCTTGAATATTTCTATCTCAACTCCTTAAACAGCTCAAAGTCAACAAGCATTTCTTAAGAAATGGCACTCAGAACTTCAGTCAGTTATGTCTTAATGAGGTTTATCCTGACTGGAATGGTACTTAGCTGCAGTGTAACAAGTTTCATAAAGCCATAGAATGGTTTGGGTTGGAATCTTAAGAGATCATCTAGTTCCAACCCCCTGCCATGGGCAGGGACACCTTTCACTACACCAGGTTGCTCAGAGACCCATCCAAGCTGGTCTTGAGCACTTCCAGGGATGGGGAATCCACAGCTTCCCTGGGCAAATTCGTCCAGTTTCAATGCAATAAAAACTCTCATACTGAGGAGATCATGTAATAACGTGGTATTTTGGTTTCAAGTTATGTCAAGCCTCGTGGTAAAAAACAAGCATTCATATAATGGATTCAAAAAGTATCCTGCTTGGAAAAAAATGTCTTTTTTGGGTTAGCAAACCATCTTGACCTAAAAAATCAACAGATATCGCATTTTCTCAATATTTTCTGGAATGCTACAATTACAGAAACAACACAGTTGTAGAAATAAATAACATAGCCAGAGCCCATGTTTTGAGAAACACCTGTTGAGCTGCAGCATACAGGGAAATTTGGGCTACACATGTATACACTCGTATGGGATATTTATACTGACAACTGTGCACCCACAGATCGACTGTCTTTAGTTTAGTGACATCACATTTATATAATATACTCCAGATTACTAACATTGCCCACTCACAAGTCACAGAATCATTCAGGCTGGAAAAGACCATTGAGATCAAGTCCAACCAAGTTCATCAAGTCAATGATGTGGAAGAGTGTAAATACAGCTGGAAATGCAACACCAAATCACTAATAGTGATTTACACACAGTAAGAAAAATCTTTCAGTAAATATTTTAGCTCATCACATTGCTTGGTTCTTTTTTTGTATTAACAAAAATGCTGTAAAAAGACCAATTCTAAACCCTATCTTCATATTTAAGAAATATATCAGGATTGTGTGGCAGGCAGTGTTGTTTTCTTTACTGCAGAGAGAATCTCCTCTAGGAACAGCCCTATATGTGCAGGTAGCTCTTTGGATGGTGACCTGAAGCTATCATGAAGACAAATGCCTATTTTCATGTTCAGTGGTTATCACACACGTATCACATAACTGTGCAGGGCGAGGTCACAGTTTCTACTGTCACTAAGGACATGTCATAAGGACTTTTAACAAGTTGTTTCTCTAACACAGCCTTTAAGCTCACAAACTTTGGACACATGTCAGATTATTTTGAGAATTTAAACTTGGGAAATAATGCTTGTTTCAATGAATTTAAGACAGGCACTATTATTAACATAAATCATAATTTTGGTAATTATTACTTAGTTTTCTAAGAGGCACTTCTGTGGATAGAGCATTGAAAGATGCAAGAGTATCACACATTTATGACTCTTATGTCACCATACTGTTATATTGGCAAAAGAGCCAAGATGAATAAAAGCAAAGTTCCACTGAAATGAAAACTTTCAGTCAATTCAGAGTAGATTTCTGTAAGGAACAGCTCCAATGCACAAGCAATTGGGAGTCTAAGCTCTTACTACATGAGATACTACTGGTTTTCATCTATAAAATCATCTGCAGCTACATGTATCTATTAGGTAAGTTTCTCAAGGCTTTTACAATTTTTGCTTCACATTATCTTTACAATAAATATTTTTATTCGAAACAGGAAGAGAGCTGTAGGAATTGAATGACTGTCAGTGGCAAAACCAGAGCTCCAAATCCTATCCTCTCTTCTGCACTTGTTTCAGGCAGCACACTCTTCTATCTGTGCCACATTATGTAAACTTTTCCAGAAGTAAAAGTTACAAAATGCTTATTTGTAAATGCTGATGTGTAGTGATGGGAGCATGTCAGATGACACCACCTGCCCCTGTAAGAATTTTCCAAAGGTTAAAAAAATCCTGCAAAGACCATTTTAAACTTCCAAATAACTTTCCCACAGAACTACTGGAAAATATTTTAAATTCAATCACCAATCAGCCCCTTGATTTTTTAATTAATTTTCAGACTTGTCACAAAATCTGTGTAAAACTAAGGAACTCAGTCCTGTCCAATGAAGAGGGACATGACACTTAAGATCTCTTTGGCAAAGAGAGACAATTCCATATGACCAGTCTCAGTGGCAAATTTTCACTCTATATAATCTAAACCAACAGATAATGAAAATCAAAACCCACCATTATTAATAGGTAGTTTAGACAATTGCATAGTAGATGTTGTATATGTAGCAACTGAGATATGGTGAAGCAATTAGTGACCTTAAACCCAAACAGTTGGACTTTTTAAAGTGCATATTATTAAAAAAATCCAAACAAAAAAAACCCCAACACCCACAGTGTATGTTACTTCTCAAGTGATGCTGTCAAACCTGTCCTCAATTCCTTACCCCTCTCTAAATTATGGCTTGCAACCACATTTGTAACTATTTTCTGACTGGCTCAAAGTGTAGTTTGATGCATTCACCATGCAGACTGTAGTTCAGCTGAGACTCATAAAATGTTTCATGGTTGTGCTTTCAGTACTTGTACTGTTTTTACAACCTGTCACCTATTCCTGCTCAAAGCTTTTATTCCCCTAGACCAAAGCATTGAAGTATTCCTGTCTCTATTTGACCCACCTGTCTGTCTGAGGTTACTACCCTCCTAAGAAGACAGATAACCCAAGCCAGCAAACACCTGCTGCCCCTGCCATGCACAGATCAGTGTAAGAACTCTCACATTCTCTAGCAACTCAAGGCTTTCGACCTAGCAGTATTCCAGATGTTCATGGAAGGGTGTGATGGACAGCTAGAACACTAAGCACTTTTCTCTTAAGTGTATAGAAAATGCTTTAACTTACAAATTAAAGCTCAGATGTTTGCTGCACTCCCCTCAAACATAAAAAGAAAAGTCCATCACTTAAAGAGCATTGAAACTCAAAGCAATGCAGCTCCTGAAAACCAACAGATTGAACAATGCATAGCATTAGCAGCGTAGGTAAATGGGTTATGTTCCCAAATCCTTCTGTTGTTTGAAATAAAACACATCCATTGAAAGGTATGCTAGAGGCAAATCAATGGAAATAAAGGTTCCCGTGGGAGTTGTAAATCTTCAGGGATTAAATTTCTTGGCCTACAGAAACCAATCCCCTTCATGAGTGGGTTGGACCATCAGAAGGAACACAACTGGTACACTTCTTCAGTAAATATTTGCAAAGATTACTAAAAACTTTACAAATAAATTAAAGAACAACAGAAGTATCAATGAATTCTAATCAAAGTAATTTTCTCAGTTAGCCCTTTATTAAAGAATCAAAACCCAAGCTAAATTTAAAAATGTAAAGAATTTAACCTACGTCAAAACTTGCAAAGAGAATGGTACTGCAAATATAGAAAGAGAACCTCATTCCATCTAAGACATAAGAAAGCAAAAAATGGGTTTAAAAAAATTTAAAAATCCAGAAACTGACATCAGGTGAATATAAACCAAAGATATAGGTAACAGTGGAGAGGAACTGAAAATACTTACATCTGTTTTCAACACTGTAGAAGAAAGCTTTGGTGTCTGCACCCTCGTAGAAGTCTCAGAAACAAATCTAGTAGGGGCTTTTAACCAAACCCACTATGAAATACATTAAAAAAGTTAAAACATACACAAGTACTATTCACCGTATTAGGCAAACATCTAAAATGCAAAATTTGGCTCTGCAAGTCGGACAAGGCACTTGGCTCGACAGCCAGGTCTCTGGGTGCTGCTGGTCTTGTCTGCCGGCAAACCATTTGCCCATGCAGGTGAGGCACCACATGGGGCGACAGTAGCACTGCTGGCACTCCCCTTCATTTGGCTCCTGGCAGCTCTTGACCAGCTTGATGTTAGCAATAGTCTGCATGCACCCTATGCATGGCTCCAGCTCCTAAAGGAGGAGAGAAACATCAAAATTATGAAGGGCGTACAAGGGGTTTTGTGATTGCTCTTCAAAGGCTTTCAGAAAATTATCTGTGGCAGAATGATCAAGGAAGAGCTGCCCCACCGAAAGATACCAAATGGTTTCAATCTCCAGAGTCCTGTTTTGTTAGAACACACTCTAATGAACGAGAACAAAGTTTCTCTTTAAACAGAAAACTCAGAACTGCTGAGTGAGACTGATTAAACAAAAATTCTGTGTGAGACTGGTTAAACAAAAAGGATTGAAAATAAACATTATTTCTCTCCACCTTTTTCCAGAACATAGCAGCCAGAGCAAGGTAATCAAGCAAGGCAATCTTTACTTTTCAGACACACTCTTTTTCAAAAAACATACCAATATAAAGCAAGGAAAACAAACCAAGCAAACAGTTCTTACCACTTATTACAGCAAATGCCTGTTCCCATCTTCCATCTTTGTAAGTAAGATACATAAAAGAGGAAACCAGGGCTGCACTGAACACAAGGGCACTCATCTTGAGGGACCAGAAACTTAATTCTTCTTGGATAATGTTGGAATAATTAATATCTCCCCACAGTTAATTAAGCCCATGAACTTGCAGTTGCATATAGAGACATCACCTTGCCATGATGAGCCTTCCAGCTGCCCAAGAACGTGACAAAGTTCAAAAGAGAACAGGCTGAAGAGGCAGAGAGACCAGGATCATGTTCATGCTGCTACTGGTGTAACAAAAAGCAGCTCTGTTCTGTGGTCTCTCTTCCCTTGCCAGCTCAAGTGTCTGCTCAGCCACGCTGGCAGATTGACTGTGGAGCAGATCCACCTTGCTTCACCTCTTTTCACCTCGACAGTTTCCCACAAACAGGTTCACCACAAAGTCTTGTTTCAACAGGGGGACGAGGAGTGTGCAGGAAGCAGGACTGCTTCTTTCATCAGCTTTAAACTGTGACATTAGGGCTAATCTTAAGGCAGGAAAAACTCTAGCATAGAAAGATTAACTAACTTTTTCAACTTAATCATGGAACTTCAGAAAAAGGAAAAATTCCATGTTGTGTTTTTAATGCCCTGATCATAATTTGTGATGTCATTTATCACTCAATGTCAAACCAAAGTTCAGCACCTCAGCTACAAATTAAACAAGAAAGCAATTCTCTCTCTAATATTTTCTCTTTATTTTGAACATCTCTTTTCACTACACGCTGGCACTGCAATCAGAACACATAACCACATGATCTGCAGACATATCTGATGCAGTTTTATTTTGGCTAGTTCATGGAACTATACAATGAACACACCATATAAGCTGCACAACGTTATCAAAGATACCAAGTACTCACTCCATTAGCTGAAATATTGGACACAGACTCACTGTGAGTCACCAGATCTGGTTTAATTAGTCCCCTCTGTACACTGGACAGTGCTCTAGTCACACTTCCGATGGCTGCACAAGAACTGTAATGACCAGGTCTCTGCAAGTATTACTGATGTTAGGACTCTTAGGTGTTATTTACAATCAAAGCCAGCCTCAATTAAGAATAGTTCATTTATTTCAGCAGAAGATCCAGCAAAACCTGGCTGTCTAGAAAAGCAAGCTGTAATGGAGCCAACTGCCTAAAGAACAACAACAACAGCTGTGACTCTAACTCCCCAGAAACTTTCTGGAAGTGCAACATCATTATTTCCAAATGTTTTCAAGTAATATTTCTATGGAAATTATTACAGGGGACTTTATTTCACTGTTATTTCTCATGTCTCAAAAACGTAATGCTGACAATTACAGTTCATCTCCTTAGAGAAGGAACAGAAGCAGCAGCCAGAACTACAATTATGACAGATAAGCCCTCGTGAGGGCTGCACCTGCCCTGACTGAGCAAACAGCACTTTGGCTCTGGCATCAGCAACAAGGAGACCTGACTGGAGTCAGCCCAGCCATGCAGACCTTAAGAAATTGTGCTAGGCTGTATCTTCTCAGCAAGTTAAGTAATCTAGGCCATGTCTTCCCAGGAGCTAACTAGATGAAACTCTAAATCCTAGGGCTGCACACCCACAGCAAAGGGGGGTTTGATCACTCGTCACTCACTTTATGCTCTAAGTATCTGCAGCCCCCAGAGCCCATTTAGCTCTCCTGCAGGGCAGTGGGCTGCATGGTGGTGATTCCTCAGTTAGGTAGGACACCTCTCAGGGTTACCTCTCGAGGTAGAGAAGGTTGAGACATCCCTTACCTGCTATCTGTTATCTACAGCAAGGTAAGTGACAGTTTATGCTCGATCTAAAGCATACTGTATGCATGCTAGCTTAATTATTACAAGTGTAGTAAGTAGTAGAGTGTTTGACTGCTGTTTGATTGCCATTTAATTACTGATTGATTACTGTTTAATTACGTGATTAGTGATTAATAATCCTCATTTTAAATTATAATTTAATCATCATTTAATACATATTTTTAATAAAACCTTTTGGTTAACCCCACAACAATGACTTCTCTCAATAATTCACCTGAGACAGCCCTAAGTAAACATTTATCAATTACACAGTAATCACACACTCACTTATACTGAAAAGTATAATTATTGCAGTCTCACACAGATAGAAAGTCTCACCTGAGTGCTTGGAACACGATATGTCTGGTTAATTTCCACCAGAGATGTAAAGGTTTCTAAAAATAAATCACTAAGGCTTTGATGGATCACAACATTAGCTGCATTGCTGATAGGTGCACGGAGCTTTTCTCGGAGCTCTCCATACTCTGTGGAGTTCAACCTGAAGAAGAAAAGATGGAACAAAATGTCATCTTGATAATCCAATCAAATACCTTGATAGTACATTTTAGAGGTCAACATCAGGGAAATGACTCCACAGAAAAGCTATTTAGGCTGGTACATACTAGTCAGAATAAATACACAGTGAGAATTGTGTTTTCCTTTGTTGTTTAGTTATTGGGTTTGACACAGCTTAGCCAACAGAACATGCTGTCCTCATCTGTATCTGTGTAAGACTGCCAGCAGGATACGTCAGAGATCAGCTAAAACATCATACAACAATAAAGGAAGGCTTTTGAAGTAATCAGCATGAACAAAAGCAGCACAGGTATATAAATCCTGTATTAACTGTAACATACTGCATGGACAATTTCTGTCCACATTTTTAATGCCTATTTAGTCAGGCATATCTAAATTCTAGTTTATAAACTCCTAAGGACAGCAATTAGTTACATCACATGGCATGCATGACAAGGTACATAGTACAATGTATCAGTATCAGTATCAGAAGAATGTCAGTCTATCAAGTTCTGTGATTTTATGATACAACTTTAGATAAACCCAGAAATTTCACAAAGGTTATAAACTGCTGCTGATTTAAGGCTGTAACCAGCTGTTTCACACTCACTGCTTCTGCTAAAGTAAATTTAAGTGATGCCCACAGAACTCAAGTGACATTTGAGACGTTGCACAGCTCCTGCAGTGATACATCACTGTTGTTATGACTTTTTACTGTTCCAGTTCTGAACTGTAGCATTAGAACTCCCCAGCTGAATGCTTCGACTCCTTAAACAGTTTTCATGGAGAAGTCCTGGAAACATTGCCCTGGTCCTTCCTACCACTCACTGGGTTCCCAGAGCCCAGCACAATGCACCACTGGCTTCACTTTAACTCCATTGTTTTAACTACTATAGGATAATGTCATTTGTTCACACGTTATCCATGCAAACAACAGAGACCTTTCTGAACAAATCAGCTTGAACATTCAGGGAAATGTGGTCCACCTGCACAAAAGCATCTTTCTTTCAGAAACATCCCACTATATCTGATTCTGGACATATACAATGATACTATATGATTCTCCTACACTCTAGCAAGTATTTACTATTTCTGACATTGTATTAGAAGTGCTTTCATACACCATTCTTAATGCTATTTTGTTTAACCACAAAAAGTTTGGGTGTTAAGATTTTTTTTCCCCCTGAAAGGAATTGTCAGAGAAGTCATGATTTTCTCACAGTGGGGATGTAGCTTTACCACTCTGGCACAGAAGCACTTACAGAAGAAAATCATTAGTTGTTTAATACTCATTTGGTCACCACTCTCACAGCGTCTACAAAAGTCTCTTCTCTTGGGATTGTCACACTTACCTTAACTAACCTCTTATTCTGAGCTCTGCTTACCTGGATCTCTAACACAATCACCTCTATGCCTTCCTCATGCTTGCCCCACTGCACACCTACACGTCTGGTGATCTGCCTACTTTTAATTACCTAGTAAATAAATGCTGCTGGCATACAAATCTACAGCAAAAAGACACTTACATGCCTCTTCAAATATATAGTTTTATGAGCCCTAACATGGCTTTGTGTACTCCTTTTAATGACACAAAGACAACAAAGACTTTAGCACCCTTCCTACTCAGTGTTAGAGGTTTCTGCAGAACTTGTACTTTTGCTAGCTACACAGAGACTGCTGAAAAAACCCCAGACTGGGCCCTTGCAAAACATGCCCCAACGTGCTATCATTTACTGTTATGAGAACACATAAATTAGAAATGGACCAAAATTACTTTCTTGCTTTAAGGGCAGTTGGCTTGCAGTAGCTTAATGAGAACTCTTCTGAGCAGTAACAAAATTATGAGCCTTAAGCAGAAGGAAATAAATGAAATAATGAGTGAACAACAGTCAGTTTTAGACAAATAACTATTTCTCCTCACTCAAAATTT